AAAATCTCTACACATCTGGAGACCAGGAATGAAGTGCTTTGTGTGAGTAGTAAAGGAAACTCAGGAGAAAGACTAACAGGAGGTAGACTGAACTGAATTTTTTCCAATATGAGGGCTTTAAAAAGAGACCTAATAGGGTAGCCTAAGAACATTTCATACCTCTGTATTCAGTCAGTTCCTCATAAAATGTAAATATAGATTACTTACCTCAGGAGCTCCTCAAATATATTAAAATTACAAAATCTTTTTCAAGTGTTAAGTGCTTTGTAATTACTTGGTTATTCAGGTATTTGCTTGGTATGGCCAAATACATTAATGAACCTGAATACAATACTTCCTAAAGGCTGAGTACATTCTTGGCTCTCCTAACAACAGTGAGCAATTTAATGCAGCTAGTTTGGAAAAAGTTATTTCAGGTTTTCAGGGTTTGTTTTTTTTTTTTCCTGTTTTAAGATGTGTGTAAGCTTACAATGGGCTAAATAATACAGTTCTGTAACAGACTCAGGTTTATCTGTTCCCTATTGTGAATGCTTGTGGAGGCACTCCTCCCATTAACTGGTGACACAGGAATAGAGAAGTGACCGTTGGTCAGGTTCAGGAAACAACTTAGGAAAATGAGGAAGCAGTCCTCCCGGCCATGATTCAGGGCTAATAATCCTTCCATCTACCTACTTTTATGCATATATGTTTAACAGAAACACCTCTTGATAACTGTTGTCCTCTTTATCTTGGACCATTAAACCAAACACAATGTGAAGGCTAAGAAATTCTCAAAATTTATGAGAAACTGTACTGGATTAAAAACTCCCTATCAATAGTTAATAATATTGTAGTAACTTTATATGGTTACAGATGGTAAGTACACTTATAATGAGTGTCTCATAATGTAATTAATTATAAAATCACTATCTCGTACACCTGGAACTAATACATGTCAACTATACTTTAATTAAAAAAAATAAACGTCATATACTGTTCTATGAGATTCTTCATTTTCAGCTTTCATTAAACCACAATTGGCAAAAAAAATTATTAAAAAAAATAAAAAATAAAAAATAAACCACAATTGGCCTGGCAAACTTGACAAACCAAGTGTCTTTCACCAGCCTATTTGTTGTAGCTTAGTGTGGAAGTGAGCTGAATGATGGCAACTTGAAAGATTTAAAATGCCCCATTTTAAAGTTTTTCAAAAAAATAAGTTTTTCATTTAAAAGCGCATTTCTGGTAAGATTATGGTTAATGCTTTTTTCCCTGTTGGTTTTCCAAATTCTTTAAATGACTTACTATAATTTAAAAAATTGTATGTTAGAATAAAATCGCCCTGCCATAAAAAGAATTCTCCCCTCAATAACAAAAGAAAAGAATTCTGACAGTCGCGTTTGTTTATAGATGCTATAATGAGATTGTTTAGCATTTTTTCTCTTTTTTAAAAGTTTGCTTTTTTTTAAAGATTTTATTTATTTATTTGACAGAGAGAGAGTGTGTGCACACAAGCAGGGGGAGCTGCAGACAGAGGAAGAGGGAGGAGTCTCCCCGCTGAGCAGGGAGCCCGACACGGGGTTCGATCCCAAGACCCCCGGATCATGACCTGAGCCAAAGGCAGATGCTTAACTGACTAAGCTACCCAAACGCCCCATCCCCCCACCCCGCCTTTTTAAAAGTTTTTATTTAAATTCCAGTTAGTTAACATACAGTATAACATTAGTTTCAGGTCTACAATTTAGTGATTCAATACTTCCATACGACACCCAGTGCTCATCTGCTTAGCATCTTTTAAGGAAATCCTGTGAGATTTAAATATCTCCAAATTAATAAAATGTTAGTAGCATGATTTAAATATCTCCAAATTAATAAAATGTTAGTTTGAACCACTGAAAAAGACTCTTTAAAAGCCTTTAATAAAAAAGCAAGTTGACTAGAGGTAAAATCCAAAGTTAAATTACTACCTTCAAAGAACAAAGAAAGTGAAATGAGTTTATAGGAAGTAATTTATTAGCATCTTTTAAGGTTAAATCTTTTATTTTTTTAAAGATTTTATTTTTAAGTAATATACTCCACTGACGGAACCAGCCAGGCATCCCAAGGCTAAATCTTTTAAACTATGGTTGTAACTAATATGAGAACAGAGTAATTATATAGCACAGTGATCAAGAATGTGAGCTCTGAAGTCCAATTATCTGGGTCCAAATTTTAGCTTCTACCACTTATTATAGCTGTGAATTTGGGCAGGTTGCTTCTGTAAACTTTAGTTTCCTCATTGTAAAACAGGGAGAATAATAATTTCAGTGTTATTTTAAGGATTAAGTGAAATGATTCCTTATTTTCTTTCTCATACCACATAAATTTATCATGTTGCAAAATGCAGTGAAACAGCTAAGAAGCACAGTGTGACCCAGTTCAGCTACAATGTAGGTGCACCATGACCCCATTCTGTATAGCAATGAATATTGCCACTTTGGGATTGATTTCCAAGTGAGAGCTACCTTTGTTCCCTAACACCATGTTATTAACTTTTTAGTAAGTCTTCTTTTGGTATGTTTTTTCAATAAACCAAATAAATATCTGCTATAATCTAGCCTTTTTTTAAGATTTTATTTATTTGACAGAGAGAGACAGCAAGAGAAGGAACACAAGCAGGGCGAGTGAGAGAGGGAGAAGCAGGCTTCCCGCAGAGCGGGGAGCCCGATGCGGGGCTCGATCCCAGGACCCTGGGATCAGGACCTGAGTCGGAGGCAGACATTTAATGACTGAGCCACCCAGGCGCCCCTATAATCTAGCCTTCTATACAAGGTCTACACAAGGTTGTTTTACTAAGTAGACATATTAAAAACCGATCACTTGGAATCTAGTTTAAATTGTATAGTAATTATGGTGATGTGAAGTTGCTTTGAGAAATTCTATTTGGAAAAGATTAAATATCTACAAAAAAACTTCCTTAACATGCATTATAATGCATATTTATATAGTTGACCCTTAAACACCACTGAACTGTGCAAATCTATGCAATTTTTTTATATAGTACAATACTGTAAATGTATTTTTTTCTTAAGATTTTCTTTTTTAAAGATTTTATTTATTTATTTATTAGAGAGCGAGAGAGAAACAGCAGGAGAGGGGAAAGGGTCAGAGGGAGAAGCAGGCTCCCGGCTGAGCCGGGAGCCTGATGTGGGACTCAATCCCAGGACTCCGGGATCATGACCTGAGCCGAAGGCAGTCGCCTAACCAACTGAGCCACCCATGTGCCCTTCTTAAGATTTTCTTAATATTTTCCTTTCTCTTGCTTACTTCATCATAAGAATACGGTATGTAATACATAAATAAAATATGTGTTGATTGACTGTTTATGTTATTGGTAAGAAACAGTAGGCTATTATAGTTAAGTTCCTGGGGAGTCAAAAATCATACAGGAATTTTTGACCGCAGGCAGGGTTGGAGGCCCTGACCCCGGGCATTGTTCAGGGTTAACTGTAATGATGCAAATGTCTATAGAATTAATTCTTTCTTTCTAGATGTGGACCTGTTAATTTAACTCAAACTCAAAATGTCTACTAAGAAATTTTATTGCAATGTGTGGGTAAATTATATGACTTTCTATTTTAGATTGACAGCAGTAACTGAATCAAGCCATTCAATCTAAAGTCTCTTCAAATTTGTTTATACACAAATTTATATATAAAGGTGACCTACATGAACATGTAAAAACCAGCCACAACTAAAATATTTACTTGAGAATAAAATGGAAATATTTGTTCTTTAAAACAAATTTCCAAAGTAACAAAAACACCCAGTAAAAAAACAACTGATGGGATTTTTATATTCACATTAACACTTAGTAATTCATATCCAATGACAGTAGTGTTTTCTTATACTGTTTCAGTCTGAATTATTTTCTAGCACTTACTTAAAACTAAACAATGATAAATTCTGACACAAAAATGTTAGAAATGTATTTACCCATTTGTGTGTGTATATATATATATATATATTAAGATTTTTTGTTTATTTATTTGACACAGAGAGAGACAGCTAGAGAGAGAACACAAGCAGGGGGAGCAGGAGAGGGAGAAGCAGGCTCCTGGCTGAGCAGGGAGCCCGATGCGGGGCTTGATCCCAGGACCCTGGGATCATGACCTGAGCCGAAGGCAGATGCCTAATGACTGAGCCACCGAGGCACCCCATATTTGTACATATATTCTTTTTTTGAAGATTTTATTTATTTGACAGAGAGAGAGAGCACAAGTAGTCAGAGAGGCAGCAGAGGGAGAGGGAGAAGAAGGCTCTCTGCTGAGCAGGGAACCCGATGCGGGGCTCCATCCCAGGACCCCGGGATCATGACCTGAGCCGAAGGCAGCCACTTAACCAACTGAGCCACCCAGGCCGCCCCTGTATGTATATTCTTAATTCTAAGGAAGTCAGAACATTAAATAATCATTACTTGAAAAGCATGTACACAGAAGGAACATCCCACACAATGACAGATTATTTGGCAGACTACTAATTAAGATAGTTTTTCTTAGATTAGCAGCCCAGGCTAAACATGACAGAATCCCCAAAGATAAGTTTATGTACTTTCACTCACTTCACCTGAAATTTAATTTAGACGGAAAAAAAGCATTTGCATTGGAAGTAAAATTTGGGGTACATTCAATTTCCATTTGAACTTAATATTTCTTCCCATTTCTCTGTCAATATTGAACACTAAGTAGAACCCACTTGTTAAAAATCCAGCTAATACGCTATTATGAACAGCTCTGCAAGATCAAATTAAATTTATTTTAACATCTAGCCTTGAGGAAATAATACTTTTTCAACTTATTTGCTTTCTTTATTGGATTTTAGTATCAACAGACACACAGTTAATATCATAGATAGCAACTTTCCAATTTATTAATTTCCACATATAGTTAAATCAATTCCTATATTATAAAAAAATGAATGTCAGTGCTATACTAGGGGTGTAACTCCTTATAAAGCAAGCACGAACGTGGCATCAAACTTACTTTTCCAAAGAAGCCTTTGAAGAACTTCCTTTCCTGGAGGAACAGGGGGACAAGTCGAGCGCTATTATTGTATGGGCTAAATGTCCCAGGGTTTCACACCAATAAGCACATACAGAAGTTGGGTAAAGGGCAAAGTAGGAGAGGGAGAGGGAGTGAGAGTTTTAAAGAGTTATCCATACCAGGAGTGACAGGGAAAAAGGAAGGGTGCATGAAAATGCAGGAAAACATACTGTATGGCCTAAGAATCCATGGAAAGAGAAGAAATCAGAACCTGTACCCATGCAGAACAACTAGTTAGTTTAGTATTCTCTATTAACTTTTGAAACAGAGATTATCCAAATTTGGCAGCAGAGAAAAAGATTAAGACTTACTGGTTTGGTGAGATTTCTATTTTAAATTTCCTAATAGTGCGTAGTAAATACATTTTTCAACTTCCATACACATTTTTCAATTTAAAAATCAGTGGTCTACTATATGGAAATCATCAATTAAAAAAAAAAACAGTCCACATTTGAATAACCACATAAAAAATACAACACATAAAATTAAGAGTGTGCAGCAAGAATCTTTGTCAGACTTTTTCTTACTAAGTTCAAGATGTCACTTAGAGAATCCTTACTCATCCATTGGGATCGATTCGTAAGTATATGCATGTGTGGACTGATCAATTCGACAACAATCATGGGGAAATAATAGATATGTTCTATTCCAAATAGAGAATAAATTGTCTTTAAAGAACACAAAGCTAATGCTTTCACTTCAGATGAAAAAAATATTCTGAGAACCAAACATCTGTGAGCCACAAATGAGATTTTAAAAATAGGGTTTTGTTTTCTTTTAAAATGCTAGTTTTAGAATAAAGAAACTTGCATTGACAGTTGTAAGTATACAACTCTGAGACTATGTAGATAAGAGAGACAGCTATCTATGGTTCCAGCACCAATTTTTAAGCATGTAGAAACTTTGAAAGCTGGCCACCATTTAAGATCAGAAGAACTTATGCAAAGTAGATGGGTTCTAACCCAAGGTATCTTAACTTTACATTTCCTAACTTTGGTTGAACTATTTAAGTTTTTATAATCAGTTTTTAGTGTTGGATAAATGTCTAGAAAAAGACAAGATAACTGTACTGAAATTTTACTCTTTCAATTTATAAACTCATTCACTACTCTCAAACACTGAAGAGTTTGTTTTCTACCTAAGTTTTGAAAATCACAAACAGCATCAAATATTTCCAAAAAATGTTTTGAACTTAAGCTGCAAAAACAATAAATTGGGGTAGTTACTGCAATAAGACTAAGTTTATTTCTACTGCCAAGTTTGGTGACCCTAGTTTTGTTAGACTGTGAGTGACCATCAGCTTTTAAAGATGCAGCCAAAGTTAAAAGATTCACCATTCTTGAGGGACAGGGAGGTGAGGAAAGAGATCTGTTAATATTTAGTTCAGCTCCCAGAAAAGCTCTTGTTAAACATGTAGTTTGCCCTCTTTTCACAAAAGACCTCAGTTGTTAATGAAAAAAGTTGACGTGCAAAATGCATTAAAAGATAGTTATTAGAGAATATTAGTGCTTTAAAAAAAAACAAGTTATGATTCTTTTACCTGCTAAAACAAGAACATATATTAAAGCAAATATATCAAATAGTGAATAAAAAACCAACATATTAGAAACTGTCAGTATAATGAAACTAGTCTAAAACCAAGACAGAGAGGGAGAGACATTTAGAGACAATGGGAAGAGAAGACCTTTTAAAAGGAAGAACATCTTGGACCAGTGTCAAGCAAGATAACCAAAGGCCCAAAACACTTTTTACAAAACAGACTGATAAATGACATTACTACTCACCCTGCAACTATGTCAATAAAGGCCCTGAAAATGGGCAATAGTTGTTTCGGTCATTTATCCTGTATGATCTAAGTCCCAACATGGCTAATTTGTGCACTTATGTCACAAAGTAAATGAGTTGAAAATAGCTGTAACTAACTTTATCATACAAAGTAAAAAGAATTTAAACATATTTATGCTCTGAGAATCAGGTTTAAAATTTAATTTAAAAAAAAAGGTGATCTTGTTTAATTATGATATCTTTTCATTTCAGAATATTAATTATGCAGTAACTTCTAGTTGAAGTTAAAGTGATCCTAAATTGTAAGGGACTACTTTGAGGATAAGTAAGAACTATACTTGCAAATTATCTGGCTTCTTCAATTATTCACAAATTTAAAAAGCTCCAGAATGTCACATTTTTAGTTCAAACATCATTCAAGTGATAGGTTTAAGATGTTTGTTTTGCTACTTAACTTGTATATTTGAGCTATATAATTCTTTAAATTTTAAAGCTCTGGCATTCCAACTAAGTTCCAAAAACACGTTATTTCTTCTTTAATCTGTAACCTTGTACACTTCTACATTTGCTTCCATTTATTTGAAACTCTAAGGAAGGAGACGTAGCTTTTGGCAAAATATAAGCATCTGGTACAGCAGATAATAAATGTTTGTCAGGTGAATGTTTGGTAAGGGGGGAGGCAACCAGAAATTTCTGCATAGTAAAAATATGAAAAGAAAACAAAAATCTCAAATATTTGTGGACTAATATGGTCTGAGAAGAACAACATCCTGAAGACTTCCAACTTTCTGCAAACTTCTCAGTATAGCATTAGAAAGAGTATTTATAGGAGGAAGTTTCACTGAGTACAATAAACAGGAAACTGACCCGTTACCCCAAAATTCAATCTTGCTTTTTAAATACATGTTTGCCTATGTGAAATTATACACAACATTTGCCAAGTCTCTTGGATAGCATTAGTCTGAAAAATTGTAAAGAACTTCTTGAATGAAAAGTTCAGAAGTAGTCAATTCCCCTCAAAGTTCAAAGTTCAAAAGTATGTCCAGAAAAGCAATCAACATACATAAAACTTCATATTAGTCATAAATGACCATACGGAAATAAGGATCATTTAGATATACAAAAAGTTTCATAAACTTTAAAACATTAAATGTAAGATATGGTTATGATAATTGTTACGAGATTTGATCTGACCATATTGAGGACTGAACTGTTTTCTGTATATTCTGGAAATAATTTTTGAGTGGCTACTATGTGCCAGACACTGTTCCAGGCATAGGCACAATTTTGTAAATGGCAATTTGGTCTCTATTTATGGTGAAAATAAAACTTATTAAGTTTTATTATCTAAACAGTCCTATACCGCAAATAATCATGTTTGTAAGTTTATAATCTTCATGGTTAAAAAAATAAAAAGGTAAAAAAATTCACTCAATTAAAAAAATTATTTTTTTAAGTTTATTTATTTACATAAGTTTTCTACACCCAACATGGGGCTCGAACCCATGACCCCAAGAGCAAGAGTCACATGCATTTCCAACTGAGCCTGCCAGGTGCCCCTAAAAAAATTAAGTTTTAAAACTAAATGGTGAATAGTGGCTATCTCTGTGATTACAAAAAAAATTTATGTACTGTTTTTATTCATTTGTATTTTACACAATGAACTTATACTATCTATATAATGAAGAGATGCTTCTAATTAAAGGTAGGCTAAAAAAACTAGTTAAGAGGACTCACTGCTCATTAAACAACTAAAAACCATTTCTTAGTATCTTCTGTGCAAGTTAAAACCATCCCTAGTTTTCCCTTATTTAGAGAGTGAACATGAAGCCATACTCTGAATTGAAGACTTTCTAAAGGCTCATTCCACAATGACCTTCTACCTGTAAGTTATATAAGTTATAAGATTTTGATAACTATTGTAGTTATTGTTTGTTTCAGTTCTATTTAGTCTATTCACTGATTTGCCTGTTGTTTTCAGTCATTAGTATTATGATGTTTAAATATTCTTTAATAACTAGTAGGACAAATCACTGTATTACTTTTAAAATTTTCTAAGCTAAACTTATTCTTCTAGTGAACTTAGAATTATTCTGTTAAAGAAGAGACTGAATTTATGTTTCTGGAAAATTACACTGTCTTGAGGCTGTATTTAACTGGAGAATATATTCAGGTAGACATGACAAGTCTGTAAATTATAGCTTCACATACCATAATAGATGAAAATAAGTCCCTTTAACATTAATGATGATTAGAATAGGAAGGGCTTCAATCATTTAAGAATTTAAATGACCAAAATCTGAGGTAAATGGTATGTATGTATGTATATATATGTGTACATGTTTCTACATATTGGTTTATTTCTTTAGTTCCTTGCATACTATAATCAGTTCTTCTTTTCCTCCTTTCCCTTCTACAACAGATTCACAGACATTTGCTCCAAAATGTGATACACTTCTCTAAGCTGGTTGCTTCTTTAATCTTATATCTTTTATAATGAGGGATTATAGAGAGGTCATATAAAATGTACCAAGAAGCAGAAAAGTTTTGATTAAGCAAATTGAGGGGAAAAAAAAAAAAGCACTCATTAGTAGCCAAACTTGTGGCAGCCTACCATACCAGCAAACCCAAAGCAAACAGGTATTTAATGCTCTCTGGGGCAAGGACATGCAGAAGTAATGGTTAAAGTTTTCATAGCAAAGGGGGGAAAAGGCCACACATTGGAGAGAAGGAAGGTTGTGAAGACGACTGTCAGAGTTTATGAGACATTCTTTAAACCTATCCAAAATATGATATTAACACTTTTATGTGAACCTTTATGAACTCTGAATCCATTCTCTCCTTTTATTAAATACACAAGCATGTGCCTGGGATTTATTCTATGGTAAAACAGGCAAAGAAAACATTATTTATCCTGGAAAAGGACTTTCCATTTCAAGTATGCTGAAGTTTGTGCAAAAAGCAGGGGAAATACATTGTCTATGTTAGAGGGGTGTACAGAAGGAAACTGGAGAGGAGCAGTCAAGACAGTAAGCCCTCTCCCAACTGTAAACCTCACTAGCCATCATCACAGGTAACTCTTCTACTGTTTCTTATAGTAAATTTAACATCAGTAATTTATAACCCAGTTATCAGAGTTAGGTTAAGACACTAATTGTAACAGTTTTCTCTTGGTTTTAGAACATTATTCACCTGTAAGATTTCATACCACTTGTTTCATACGGTTCTGAATCAAAAGTACCTTTTGGATAATGTCTGGCCTAAATTGACAAAGTTGGTCTTTATAATTCACACCTTGGGATGGATAACATGTGATGTTCTTTATTAGACAGCCCACATCTTTTGCCTTAAGAGAAACACAGGTCTTATTGGATAGTGAATCACTAAAATTTACTGAGCAAAACCTCTTAAGAAAATATTTCAGTATATAGATCAATAGTGGCAACCATCAAATACATACAGCTTTCAATCTTTTTACAGCATCTTCACAGATGTGCATTCCTCTTGACTCATCAACTTCTACATGGCCAAGGTACTGCAGAAAGAAGAAAAAAGGGTTATTACTATGCTTATTGAGTAGCTACTATATGGTAGGTATTAGTTGGAAGAAAACCGGATATTGAAATTTCTGCACTCAAGAAACTTCCACTGTGTAAGAGTTAAGATGTTAAACTTTACTTATCCTCAGTGTCCTCATAGGAAAGAGAGTCAGAATAAATGTCTCAAAGAATTGTTATAGAGAAGTGAAAAAGTACATGGTAGGCACTAAATGTTACCTAAATTTATTGGATCTGAACATAATAGCCTGTGCTAGACACAGTTACTGTATCTCTGAACACAAAAATAATCCTAAAACAAACTATATGTATACATATGTAAATATGTATACACACATATTGAAAAAGGCACAAATAAAAATAACAGTTATTCAAAGGCTGAAGAGATCAATCACATACTCTTTTTATCGGCAGCACAAAAGCAGGGCAGAAAACTAAAAAACAAATTTTAAGAAGGCAATACATTTAAGCTTTAAAAGATGTGTAGAATTTGAAGAGGCAAAAATTGAAAGGTTGGGAAACTAGGTAGAGAGAATTTAACAAAAGTTATAGGTATGGAATAGCATAACTATATATCACCAAGTATTCCTGTTTGGCTAAGATATGAGGTATGTACAGCTGAGGAATTTGAATGCTGGAGTCAATGGAGAGTTAATAAAGCTTTAATTTATTTATTTTATTTTTTTGCAACGTAGTAATGCAATTCAAATTGTACTTTAGTATGGGAATAGTCTTGGGTAAGATAAAGCAGAAGGGATGGTGAAAATATTACAAAAGTGCTCTCTTTTAAAAGGAAATTTATGGTCTGGTTCTGGATACAATTGAGTAGACCACTCTTCCCTGTCCTGCCCACTGAATGAAACCATAAAACCTGAACAGAACGCATGGAGCACCTATTTCAAGTCTCTTTTGTAAAGAGTAGAAAAGATGAGTCTGAGAATACTAGGATCCAAGGTATTTCTGAACTGGAAGGGAGTTTACCTCACACTCTCCTCCTCCATTCTCCCCTTTCCCCTTTTTGATACTTCCAACTTGAACTTAACACATCCAGAAATCCAAACGTGTGTGCTATGGCAAAGAAAGAACTCTGGGAAAAGCACTCTAGCTGTGGCTCAAGTATCAGATAAGGAAACGCCTTACCCTCAGAGAGAGTATAGGAATCTCCCTTCCTTTTATTTATCTCTTTTCATTGTCCTCTCACACCCCAGCTCCCCAAGATATCCTGTGCTAGTGGTAGCAATGGAAACCTGCAAGAGTCTGAGAGAGGGGAACTTTCCTCTCGGTATAGTGAAATCATGATTCCAGGAAGATGGGACCAAGGCCTTTTCTGCTTCTTTCCCCTCTCTGTATATCTCCCATCATTTGGCCCTGTATGGAGGTGAAATGGTGCGAACTCATGGTACAGTAGACTAACAAGAGCCCCAGGAAACACAGGCATGGAGTTTAAGCAACTTGACCAAGGTCATTCAGCTAGTGAACACTCAAACCCAAGCAGCTTGACCCAGAACACTCTTATAATGCTTACATGGAATTTTTCATTTTTACTCAAATCTTTCCAATACTGAGTAAGTGCATAAAACCAATGAATTAAATCAATTTAGGAAAGTACTCAATTTCAGGTAACAAAATACTTGAGGCATCAATCATAAAGATCAGTTTTATAAACTAAGACCAAAAATGTCTAAAGAATTGTAACAGCTGTAATTTTGAATGATTATTATATAAACAGGAAGAATGCTCACTTTTTAGCGAATCAAATAATGTACTATATATATAGTTCTAAGTTGAAAGAATATAATCTCTTTAGGGCACATCTGAATATTATGAAATCCAGTAAGATAAATATACACATATTCTATTTTGGATTCTCATATATAATGAATCTGTCTACAAATTTTACACTTTCTATCTAGATCCACATTTAGTTACATTCTTTGGTTTTACAGATGATAAACAGTGGTAAAGTAATGTTTTCTCAAACTCAACATCACTGACTCCATTATAGATATGGAGTATACATAAGAACCTAAAATTTTAGAGAATTTCTAAACTACTACATTAAAAATAATAATGTTTATATCAATAAGGATGCTGATAGCAAATTTTCACCAGTGTACCTTTATCTGGCTCACTACAGAATAGCTTTAACACAGATTCCATATTAGTCATCTTTGCTTATCTTTTTTCTATTAAATTAGAAAATTTTTATTTTATTTATTTATTTTAAGATTTCATTTATTTATCTGACAGAGAGAGACACAGCGAGAGAGGGAACACAAGCAGGGGGAGAAGAAGAGGGAAAAGCAGGCCTCCCGCGTAGCGGGGAGCCCGATGCAGGGCTCGATCCCAGAACCCCAGGATCATGGCCCGAGCCGAAGGCAGATGCTTAACGACTGAGCCACCCAGGCGCCCCAGAAAAATTTTAACTCTGGGTGCCTGGGTGGCTCAGTTGGTTAAGCGACTGCCTTCGGCTCAGGTCATGACCCTGGAGTCCCAGGATGAGTCCTGCATTGGGCTCCCTGCTCAGCAGGGAGTCTGCTTCTCCCTCTGACCCTCCCCCCTCTCATACTCTCTCTCTCTCTAATAAATAAGTAGATCTAAAAAAATTTTTTAACTCAAAATTAAAGGCTATCAGAACTGTCGTTTGTAGTTCTGTCAACTAGTTCTAGATTTTCAAATTGATTTCACACTCAAATAATAGAGTACTCCCTCACTGAAGGCTGCTTTTCATCATTCAGTCAGATGCTACAGTGATAGGTATATTACACTCAAATTCTGGAAAGCTCTATTTTTCAGCTTAGAAGATAATGATGAGTGGATGTTTAAATACCTCTTTGGATGAATTAAGCTCTAAAAAGGACTTCTTTATGTTTTGTTGATATTTGACCTTTTTCAAAGACCAAAAATATATTTTTAATTTCTTGGTCCAATAAGTAAGGAAAATAAAGCAGTGGATAATAGTAAGACCTGCATTACTGTTCTGACATTTTAAGAAATTCTGACATCTCATTCTTAGCACCTTGTCATATATACTGTTAAGTTCTTTTAGTCTGTGTTTTTTTCACTCTATCCTTAATCACTGACTTGAAATGCCATGTATATATTATTAAAAATTACATTATCCTGGACATTCTATTTTGTTCTACTGTTATTCCTATTTTGACACTATAACATGCTAATTTTTGATCATTATAGTTTAAGCATGTTTTAATAAGTTTTGGCATGATCACTTTCACTAATTTTTCTTCTACAGAACTTTCCTGGTTATTTCCTACCTTTAATCTTTGGTATTAAATTTGGAATAATTTTGTTCAATTCCTGTCCAAAAAACCCTTGGTGTTTTGTTTTTGTTTTTAAGATTTTATTTATTTATTTGCGAGAGGGAGAGAGAGTGAGCGCGCACAAGTGGGGTGGAGGCACAGAGGGAGAGGGAGAAGCAGACTCCCCACTGAGCAGGGAGCCTGACTCAGGGCTCAATCCCAGGACCCTGGGATCATGACCTGAGCCAAAGACAGACACTTAACTGAATGAGCCACTCAGGTACCCCAAACCCTTGGTGTTTTAATTAAGATTGCCTTAAGTTCACTAGTTGAGAAAAATTGGCATTATGAAACTGAGCTATTCCATCTAACAATATTTATTCAAGTCTTTTATATCTCTGAAGTTTTACGGTAGCCTTCGAATACACTCCTGTACATTTCTTTCTAGATTAGTAAGTGTATTCCATAGCACTGCACCATTTAACATTCCCATCAAAATGTATGAGTGTTTCAACTTCCCCACATGCTCAACAGAACTTTATTTTTTTTCTCTTTTTAAATTACACCATCCTCCTAACAGGTGTAAAGTAGTTATCTTGTGATTTTGATTTGCATGCTCCTAATGACTAATGATATTGAGCATCTATCTTTTCACATGCTAATTGGCCATTTGTATATCTTCGTTGGAGAAATGTCAATTCACATCCTTGCTCATTTTTTTCATCTGACCTATTTATGTTTATTTTATTTTTTAAGTTCTTATTTAAATTCCAGTTAGTAGTGTAATATTAGTTTCAGGTGTACAATATAGTGATGCAACACTTCTATACATCGCCCAGTGCTCGTCACAAGAAATACATTCTTTAACCCTCTTCACCCATTTAGCCCATCCCCCCACCCACCTCCCCTCTGATAACCATCAGTTTGTTCTGTATAGTTGAGTTTGTTTCTTAGTTTGCCTCTTTTTTCCCTTTGTTTCTTAGATTCCACATTTAAGTGAAATTGTATGGCATTTGCCTTTCCTTACTTATTTCACTTAGATTATATGCTCTAGCTCCATGTTATTGCAAACGGCAAGATTTCATTATTTTTTATGGCTGTGTAATAGTCCGTGTGTGTGTGTGTGTGTGTAAAAGATGTGGTGTGTGTATATACCACATCTTCTTTTTTTTTTTTAAGATTTTATTTATTTGAGAGAGAGAGAGAATGAGAGAGAGCACGAGAGGGAAGAGGGTCAGAGGGAGAAGCAGACTCCCCGCTGAGCAGGGAGCCCGATGTGGGACTCCATCCCGGGACTCCAGGATCATGACCTGAGCCAAAGGCAGTTGCTTAACCAACTGAGCCACCCAGGCGCCCTATACCACATCTTCTTTATCCATTCATCTATCAATGGAAACTTGTGTTGCTTCCATAATTTGAATATTGTAGATAATACTGCTATATAAACATCAGGGTGCATGTATCCCTCTGAATTAGTATTTTCATATTCTTTCGGTAAATACCTAGTAGTGCAATTGCTAGATCACAGGGCAATGCTATTTTTAACTTTCTGAGGAAACTCCATACTGTTGTCCAGAGTGGCTGTGCCGTTTACATTCCCACCAACCCTGCAAGAGGGTTCCCCTTTCTCCACATCCTTGCCAACACCTGTTGTTCCTCGTGTTGTTGATTTTAGCCATTCTGACAGGCGTGAGGTAATACCTCATTGCAGTTTGGAT